ATACATGGAAATATATTCATTAAAATATACCTGAATCAGTTTGGAATTCGATTAAAAATTTTGCTCAATGCATAAGTTCGTATGCATATTGCACACTCTCTTTCGTTCGGATTTCTTGCAATCTTTCAGCTAAATATTGTGCCGATACGATAATTTCATACACCGATGCAATGCGATTCAATTTAATGTGATACAAAAGCGGCAGCGAAAGAGAGTGAAAGAGAGAAAGACGTATCATCCTATATATATTCGAAATCCATTATATTGAGGTAGTGTTGAACAATTTACAAATATCCGATTAAAATGTGCTGTTCGGTGCACAGCTCGTGCACGCTTCCGCGATCTCTGTGTACAGCAACCAAAAAAAAAATGATAGAGAATATTCGTCAATGAATTTACGTTTGCATTTGCATTGCGCGGAATTTCAGTTTCGCTACCAGAAAAAAAAGAGCACCCATAACGAAAGAAAAAGAAAAAAATAAAACAAACAAACGACAAAGCATGTTTTATTATTCAGCATTTCATGTGAAACAAAATGTCATCATGTAAGCAGATTAAAGTTGCTGGTATTACTGCACACAATATTGAAACGGGGACGAGGAAAATTAAATCGATACGCAAAAGCCACGAAGTAAGAAAAAATTGGCGTTTGCAATTCGAATTGAAACTGAAGTTAGTATTTCACTTGACACAGACAAATACACACACACACACACAGAGTGGTGAGTGAGTCCTCGTTAGGTATTCGCATAAAACATTTGTTAGTAACGAATAGAGAGCCAATTAGAGGGACTCTTTGTGCTTGTTTGTGATGTTCTTTGGCTTTGCTGTGGTCTTCATAATAATTGCGTTTATGTTTTATATGGCCGCGCCACATCGAAATCATGGGAAAAGGTTGGGTTTCAATTAATCAATGTGCCATTCTCATATATGGAGACAATACAGCGCATGTGTACAAGCCAACATACATACACGAGCGCGCGCGCACGCATTTGTAATGAGTTTGGTGGCAAAAGCTACATTAAATAAATACAGATCCCAAAGTCGAGCAAATCACATGTGGCAATCGCTAAATCATCATCATCATCATCATCATCGTCGTCATCATTATTGTCGCCTATCATTGCTGAAATATCATTGGGGATTGTCATTGGTAAAATGGGAGAAAGAGCGATACATTTTCTCGAACATTTGGCCACAAGAAATGTCAAAATTGCTGGATTAAATCGCGCCAATATTTTCCATTTCAATTTGGCGGAACAGCAATACGATATGTCATCGATTGCTTAATATTTCTATTAAATCGAATCGAAAATGTCTCAAATCGATTCGATTATCCATCGGCCAATTGAATCTTGTTCACTGTTGCGCGCATAATAAACCCATACATTCCGATGACTACGGATTAATTTTATCTGTATGTTGAATGATGCACAACGGCCCCTCATACGCTGCATATATAGTATTTCGTTCGATTTAAACAATCCGACCGAAATTTGGGGCCGTATCGACAGATTGTTCGCGAGCGACATCATTTTGGTGTATCACTGGAGATTGAAGACACCAAAAATGAATGAATAATGGAACGCGAACATGAACCAAAACGTAAAATTTCAATGTGAAAATACTTGAAAATCAAAATCACACGACATAAATGTTTAATTGGCATTGTATTTCGACAGACACGAACAAAAAAAAATTTACCCAACGACTCGATTCAGCTCAAAAAATGTTTTACGAGTTTGAGCCGAACCAAATGTGATCTAGCACAGAATTGTGCTAATTAAATTCCGTCGATGTAAATTAGCCACGAGCGATAGGCATTGTGTTAATATCGAATTTTCCAATTGTTTTTTTGGTTCGAGCCGAGAACTGATGGCATGGGAAAAAGCATCGGAATCTCTAGACACCAAATGTATTCACATCATGATACATCGAAGCAAAATGTACGCACATACAAATTTCGATGACATCGGAAGAGATTTGATGATGCGTCATTTCGACATTCGATATATATATATATATGTACGGGATGTCAGGCGCGTCTCCCGTCGCACACACGACATCGCCATGCCTAAAATTGATTCGAATTCGCAGTACGCAAAATAAACAAGTTGCTCCGCCGGGCAATATATTAAATGTATATAATACATGGGATTAGTGAAATTATTAAGCGAATGAAGCGGTCGACCGGAGAATTGACTCCGAAAATAAATACACATAATTACGGTCTGGCTATGGCTATGGCCAAAGTAAATGCCGTGCGCGCGCGACCGAAATACACCGAGAGAGATACAGATCGAATGTGTTTGTGTGTGTGTGTGTGTGTGTGTGTGTGTTTGCGCGTGTGTTATTCTATCGGAATTTCAACAACCCACTTGGCTGGCTGATGATAGCAATGCAGTTTAAATAAAGGATTTCCATTCCACGATATACACACATTTATCCGATTAAAACCACAACACTTGAATTACCAATTCTCGAAATTGAATTGAATTATTCCAATCATCTAGATTTCCTCGAGACCAATTTTCTGAACACCAAAAAAAAACACACACACAAATTAAAATGAACAGTTTGGGATTGTGTGCTGTGACGCAAATGATTTCATCGCACACAATTCAGCAACACAGATTATGCGCAACGATAAGGTATAATTTCGTGTTGACGGTTTTGTTTTGCGATTTCAATTGATTGGCACAGTATTTTTTGTTGTTAAAATACCAATGTAAAGTCATTTTTTTGTCTTCTTCGTCTGAAAATGATATTTGCGCTGTGACAATGGTGTATTTTACCAAATTTTTTTTCCATTCCATACCACGTATGCAAATGTTAATCTTGATGATTGCTATGCTTAAGTCGATCAACCGATTGTCTAGATCAAATTATTTATACGATTCTAACAAACAATCGGAGATAAATAAAATATGCTTGAAAATCCCTCCCCATCGATCCAAACTTTGTTGGATTCAGCGATACGATAAGCATCTGCTTTACTTTACCGCCACACCAAAGCACTCTCTCGCATGTGTCAGGCGACATTCATTCTCTCGCTCTCAGTGTGTGTGTGTTTTTTTTTCCAACATAGTTAATTATTATAAATGGCATTTTGCAATCGTTTTTCTGCACTTTTATTGCGATTTTGATTTTCGTTCTGTTTTCATGCTCGTTTCATCTCCCGTACATTCCTCGTTGGTTGGCTCTGATTTGGCGGTATGTGTGTATATGTGGTGTGTTGCACTATCATATATTCTGGTTATATGCTTAAATAATGTACGTGCATATGGAGAGCCAAACTGAAATGAAACGAAATCAAATTACAAAATTAAAGATAAAATATGTGAAAAAAAATTCTGGCTGTCGGTTTACTCTCTGTTGTTGAATCAACGGACGAAAAAAAAAATGCAGCAACAGCAGCAACATGATCGTATGTCGCATTCGAATCTCTGTTTAAAAAGGGGATATTAAGTGCGAAAGGTTGAAATTGTCTCACATCTGTGTAACGAGAGTGTCTGTTGAAATGCAATGCAATGCAAATATATATTTATTTTTTTTTTCAAATAGGATTTCAAACAATGTCCATAGTTTTTGTATGTGTGTGTTATTTCTCTCTTTTTTTTTTATTTCAATGTTGATTTTTCCAAGTTTTTTTTTTTTCTCCTGTTGGTTCGGTTTGTTCGTGGCCATTGTACTTCGCTATGGCTTCCATGAACATTGAACAATCGGTTAATCAAATTTACATATTTAATCAAGATTTAAATGTGCGCCGTGGTAAATTCAATATACAAAAATTCTGTAGATAATTTCGTTTTACCTTTCGCTGTTGGTTGGTTGCGGAACGAGCAAACGAGCAAATTGGCGTGAAGCACTGGCGCTGATGCGCTCATACGTCACTTATCATCGTCATTTATGAATGAATTCTAGCAAATAGTTGGTGGTAATGGTTTTTATTCTCGGTCATTGTTTTCAGTTCTCTTGTTGCATGCGCGCATTTTTCATGTGAATGTGTCTTGTTTGTTGATTTTGGTTGGTTTTTATGGGGATTAACACGAAAACAATCTATTGTCATGCATTATGAATGCAATTTTATGGAGGTAGAAAACAGAAAAAGAGAGAGAGAGAGAGAGAGAGAGAGAGAGAGAGGGGTGTCATTGTGGCGACAGCATTCAATGTGATGTTTTATTTTGCCGGTTTCGTTCTTGCCTTTCATTATCCAATTAGTTTTACCTTGTGCAAGTATGACGACAGTCCAAAAAATTGTTTGCATTTTAACATACACAGACACACATTCCTTCTCGAATTAAAGAGATGATTTTATTTTACCATTTTAGTGCTCTTCTTCTTTTTTCCAGCCGCATTGAAATGTTTTTCCTTTCATTCTGCGGTTCGTCGAATTTTTTTTCCGTAGCATTTCGGTTTAATAGGGAATTGTTGATTTTTAAGTGGTTCACTTTGTTTCGAATTATCATTTGGTAGCAACAACAACATCTTTGCCGTTCTTGTAATTCATATCGTTCGAATTTCGATCGTTCGTATCGAAATTACTTGCAAATTTATGCATTTTAATTTCAAGCCATTTTTTTATGCATCCAATTTCGGAATGTTTTCCCATTTCGGATGGCTTGGTGTTGTTGGTTCGATTTTTTTTCTTCTTTTTTTTTGTGGATTGGTTAAAATTTTATTGCAGTCGATCACCTGATAATATCGAACATGACTGATAAAAAAAACGGAATGAATGAGCCATGCCATGTTCTCGATACGAGCACGAAAGCTTGAAAGAGAGAAAACATCGAGTATGAATACGTAGTTGTTTGTTTTTAATCTGATGGCAATCAGCGTTATTTTTAGTGAAGTTGCAAAATGTGGAACCCAAAATACAAGCCAATATGTATTTAAATCGCATTGAAATTTAAATGATTTACCACAAAATAACAATAAACATAACACTCGTGATCATAAAAATATTCTTAATGTTTCTTTTTTTTTTGTGCAGCCCAGACTAAAAAAAAACGTTAAAACTTATTATTGAATAAAATGTAAAGTGGTTTCAGAGCAACAACAAAAACAAACACATAAGGACAGAGGGATAGGGAAAAAAAGTGAAGAAGATCTCGATTTCTCATTTCAAGAGTAAATTCGAGAGGACCATACATACACATATACGTACACTTAAACTTAAAATTATTCCGATTGCGTCGGTTTTTTCACTGTCAACAAAATCGATGCACTTATTACGATGTCACTTTTATTGAGAAGTTTTATGTCGATTTTATAGTGTCCATTTGGTATGCCAACCGGTATATATTCGGCAGCTAAATCATTGTACTCGATGTCATTCACGTAATACTTCCCCTGTGCACATATAAAATATAAATGAAACGAGAAAAAAAAGAACGGAACAAAGAGTCAAAGCTGGAATCACATTTAAGAATCAAGAATCAAACGAAATAATAAAGTCATCAAGAAGAATTAGCTATATCTTCAGAACAGACGAAGAGAAAAAAAATCGCATTAAAATTGATCTACCAATCGAGTGTCGAAGACACAAAAACATCGGCGATTTTAGTATCGATAGTTAAATTCAGCCATAAATTTAATATTTATTGTTCAAATAACACTCCATAAACTATCAATTGGCCGAATGAGACGAGAGAAAAAATCCCGAATATCCACTTACATACACACACTCGTTTAAATTAATCATGCACATGAAATGTATTGCATTAAATCGATTTGTGTCCGAGTGTTCATGTGTATGTGTGTGTGTGTATGCGCGCGGGCGCGAATCGTAAAAATCCAGCCAAGTGATTGTTTCGTTCTTGTGTGTATAAATGAAATGTACTTTTTTTTTCTACTCACTGCTACGATTGGGCATTCAAAAAGCGGCGCGTTCGTGTATTGCTGCCATACCGGACGGATGGCCAATGCAAACGAAGACGCCTTCGCATCATCGGCTAAACTGCAGATATTTTCCGAAATGTTGAACAATAAATGAAAATGGCCGTCTGCCAACATACTTTCCAAATACACTTTAACGTCGACCTTAAAATGATTTATTGAGAAAATTACTCAAGAGCATACTGTAACCCAGAAAGAAAGAAAATCGTCGTCGACGTTGTTGATGAGTATTATATTTTTGTTGCTTTCATTTCTAGCTGTAATGAGCTACTTCTATGAATCCGCATCATTTACTTTTATATGCCATATAATTCATTCATTTTTAATCAAATCATCACACAATTGCCATTCAATTTTCAAACACACAACATCATAAACATTCATGTTTGACTTTTGTGTGTGCAAAAAATTTGTTCCAATCATATTTTGTATGAATGACAATCAAGTTAATCGGTTTTCGTAGGAATAATATGGAAACGCAATGGCTGATTGAGGTATGAATTGGTCAAAAACAAAGAGTCAAATTCAGAAACTTAAATTGAGAAATAGAAAGACCAAAACACAGTTGCTGAACAAAGTTTTCACTGTTGCAATTTGCTCGTGTGGTGCGATGTAAAAGTGTATACTTTGTATGAATGTACGACTCATGCAAGATTCTAGTTAATCAAGTTGCTCAATCACCTCATTTATCCCCCACGGAAATGAAACATTTGCACAAAACTACTCTGAGCTATGTGCTTTTCACCAACGTCAACGTCAAAATGCAAATATACGCGCTGCACAGCAATAATACAATGTACACTTACGTTGAGGTCATCGATAGGCTTTTCCAAGTCACCATGACCGCTGATAAATTTATTTCGGCCGTCGACCACTTTCAGTGCACAATTTCCACTGTTTTTCGTTGTGAAATAGTTTGGATCAAAGGTGCAATTAAAATTTTCGATTTCGAATAAATTTTGTGGCTGCAATCAAAAGCACATACAGAAAATGAAAATGAAAAACCAAAATTCAGATCAGAAAATTGTGTTTGCTCAGCAGCTACTTTGCTGTTCATAACGTGCTCTACGGTTGCATTCACTGTGTATATGTGTGTAGTGTGTACGCTTTGATCTTCACCAAATTGGCGCGCGCTTATGCGTTAAATGTGTAAATGCAAACAAATCATCAATCAAATTGTGAATAAAACATACGTGACATTCAACTAGTATTTGTGATGCAATCACAACACCAACGATGACCATAAATTTGAGCACATTTTCTTGTCGGCCCTTCACCATTGCGCTTTGCTATTGATTCTGATGTTGTGCTACACAGAAAGAGAGAGAAAGAGAGAGTCAAATTCTATCGCATTTTGGGAAACGGCAAACCTGACTGGTTTACTTGTTTTCACTTACACTCGGGCAGAATTTTCTTGTATTTATAGAGTAGTGAAGTAGTGATCGGTCTCTCGGTTTTGACGTGGACAAATGACCAATGACGAATAATTTAAAGCAAGTGCACAACCGAAATGAAGTAGGAACAGTTTTTGATTGTCCACATCACATACACTTCACTCCCGTATTTATATATCGATTTCATATTCCAGTGTGATATGAGTTTGTCATTTTTCGAGGACAACCGATTTTTGAATCACACACTGGCACTGTATGAGATTGTGATCGGCTGTTTCCACTGGACCGATTAATTGCAATTTCAAACCCATTCACATACAAAGCAATTTGTCTGAATGACAAAAACGAATATTTCAAAAATCAGAAAGGAAGACATACATTGCTTTAATTACTCCTCTCACTCTATATTACTATCTCTCCCTTCCATATATTGAGCATACACCTCGTATAAGAACCAAATTTTCTTGTGGCGCCATCTAGATGGCTTGCGGGGCGCAATGTATTTTAAATTGTTAGCTAAGTTTTTTCAGCTTAGTACAGAACCATTTTTGGCAAAGATACAAAAGCATGCTCGAGGTATGCTCCCTTCTGTCTGTTCGCTCGCTGTATCTCTCTCTCTCTCTCCCTCTTTCTCTCTCTCTCTCTCTCTCTCTCTCTCTCTTTCGAACACTAAATAATAGCATCAATCATATATTCCTAATTTAATGCTAATATTGTTTCAATTTTGTTGATTTAATCATTTTTTCCACACATATCACAGTATTTTTTTTTGCCACAATCATTTTAAAACCAATTAAAATTTTGATTCTATGCAAAATTGTATGGGTGTCGTATGCTACAAATGCAATTAAACAAAACATTTGATGATTGGAATCATATAATTACTTCCGCCACATTGAGACGTGTGCAAGGTCAAAAAATCTAGGGGGGGGGGGGGTAAAATGATTTTGCCAAAGGGGGGCGTGAAAATTTATTAATGGGGGTCTGAAAATTTATAAATGGGTGTCAAAAAAAAAAAGGTCCGCACTTTTGAAAATCGATTCTATCTAGTGTAAAATTTTCCAAATCGCTCGGGGGGTCTCACATTTTGAATCCTAGAGGGGGGGTAAAACCGGAATACCCCCCCCCCCTTGCACACGTCTGGTCACATTCAGCAAATTATCCAACTTTATATCGATATGAGCAAAATGATAAAACAAAATTGTCCAATCATATCACATTTTTTGTCCAACTTGGTTTTATTTCGGTGGTTGAACTTCTAATCCAAGCATGACCGAAACTTCTCGAAAGAACGCCATTTTGAAGGTTTCCCCTTTCGAGATTCATTCTAGTCCTGTTTGCCGGTGAATACCGTCTTGGTTATGGAGTTTTTCTACAGATTTTCCATGTGAATGTCATTGATTTTCCACTGAAAATCAAATGTGAGATACTCAAATTCACAAAATCCGAGATTAGATCATAAAAAACCAATATTTAACCGCCTGGTGTCGTGTAAATAGCATTTATTTTTGGAATATTGCATTCTTCATTATCGTGTCAAACTGAATTTTTCCACCAAATATTTGTATTCGAAAATTCGTTTGCCAAATTCGATGATGTGGTGTGATGCAACGTAAACAAACTGATTAAAATTGTCAATGAGATGGTAAATATTGTGTGTATGCGAATGGCTTAATCAGTAATCAGCTCATATTCTGCGAAAGGTAAACACTCGCACACACACATGCAGCAAAAAGTGTTGAGTGGAAAAAATATTTTAATATTTAATCTATGCTGGAATTGGTGTGCTTGTGATGGTAATCACATTTTGTGATCACGATGTATACCCGTGCCGATATGGTTCATAATTTTATCGCCAAGAATTGAGACGACTTGAAAATTTGCCAACGGGATTATTTATGAATCGATAAAAAAGATGACAACGACGACGACGACGACGACGACGACGACAAGCAGATGCTTGAAGCCAATGTCGGAAGTTTCGTGGCAATAGAGAGCGAGAGTGTGAGTGAGTAAAGTTTGTCGGTACGACACCAGACAATAATAATCGATGGAAAATACTTTAATTCGAGTGTGTCTGTAGCGAAAATCGGTGAACATTTTCTCCCTCTCGCTCTCTCTTTCGCCATACCATGGCAACGAACGGTTTTTTCTTTCCTTCTTTCTTTCTTTCTTTCTTTCTCTTCTTATTTCTCATTTCGTTCGTGCACTCAATAAAATGCATGTCGCAAAATTGTCGACTGCAAACACACTCAGATCCTAGATAAATAATCGACTTTTAATACACTTAAAGTAATCGCGAACGAACGAACGAACGAGCAAGCGAATATCGCAGCGAGATGCGATACTAAATGGCCTAGGCCAAAAGTTCGCCGACACAAGCCAAGTTCTGTTACATACTATATTCATGTACTTTTGCTCTACTGCATGCTCTTCTATTCCATGTAAAATCATTGCCTTTAAATATGATTCCGCACAACTTTTTCGGTGAAACTCATAAACGATCTTTAAACATTTTCGTTTTCACGATATTTTACCGTTCGGCAGAAAGTGCCTCTGCCACCATCGTCGTCGCCGCTACCGCCGACAGCTGAGATGAATGAACAGAAAATGTGTAAGTGAGGGAGAGAAAGAGAAGAGAGAAGAGTGGCCCATTTAAATGATACTTAATGTTTGGCCAAAGACCATACATTTTGATTATCTCGTCATTTTAACAGGCCAATCGACTCAACTCAGGGGATTTTGATTTCAATTGTACCGCTTGGAATGAATGAAGTGTCAATTGAAATACCCCGCTGGATGGTTTAGCGAATAACATGCAGCAGCAAAATGGCCGATCGACATCCAAACCAAAAACCGGATTCAATAACGATGGCAAAGTAAACGAGAAAGAGAGAGAGAGAGAGAGAGAGAGAGAGAGAGAATGATAGAGAAAGAGAACGAGGAAAATAGTGACGCAAACAGCGGCAAAATGCGGCAGAGAAAGAGTAAAATGTTGATATCGAACTTTATTTCACGTGTTGTTTTGTGAGCGAGCGTTAAAGTGTTATGTGTGCACTCGTCGGAATCGATGATGGCGGCGGCGACGGTGGTGGTGTGTGTGTGTGTATGTGTGTAAGCGGGTGCAAAGAAGTTTGACGTGTGAATGTTTGGGAGGTTATGAAAGTGTTTATTTTTATTTTATGTGTTCCATGTTGTCGATGTTGCAATTGCATCCTCATCTCTTTTGCATATGGTAATAATCGTTGGGCGAACAAGTGAACCGGGAAAGAGAAGTGAAACAATAAACAACATGAAAAAAACGCGCTTCTGATAATCATAATAATTTCCGAAAATGGTGCAAGTATCAACAACGAATGCATTTCAAGTGAGACGCGAAATGTGGGAGGTAAAGATAGAGAATCATAACGCACATGAACGATCTCATTGTGTTCTTTTTTTGCCATTTCCAATGCTATTACGCCTTGAACGACGAGCACAGTCCCTTGGCTGGCTCTCTATCTGTTTGGCTGTTTTTGGTGATTGTAATGGAAGTTTTTGGCGCGATTGTTACGTCGTTTTCCGTTGTAGTTTTAAATACATTAATGTTGCTGGGAAAGAGAGAGAGAGAGAGAGAGAGAGAGAGAGAGAGTTTTCCATCGTATAAACATATGCACCGAATATGCAACGAAAGAGAAGTACCATCGAATTCCTCGAACATCGTTTGAATGTAAATAGCATATAGGGAATTTTTCTTTGTGCTCACTTAAAAAATGAACAATGATAACAGCAACAAGGACGGTAGCGCAGTGGCAATGGCAACGGAGACACACAGCTTTGGCCAACAACAATGACAACGATGCATCAGCATACATAAAAGGGAAGAGTTAATTTTAAATGTATAGCTGGGATTAGGATATTCCATGTTATGTGCGAAAGCGGTACAATGTGTATTATCTCATGGCGCTTCGTGTAACATTTTCGCTTTTCCGTCTCTGTGCATGTTTCGACCCACACATACAACACACGCACGGAACTCAGTTGAAAATGAAATGCTCACAATGGCCAACATGTTTGGGTATGCTATTCAGGACCCACACTCTGTCTCTTTCGCTCATTCGCTCACATTGTACTCTTTTCGGTTTGTTTTTCTTTTTGTCTGTCATGTCGATTTTTATTTTTGAGTCGAATATTTTGAGTGTCGACTTTCCCATTTTTCGGGTATTCACATACACACATACACACAACAAAAGAATAGTTAGTGGTTAGTTTTGAGATGGGAACATTGCATTGGTTGTACCACTTTCGTTCCACTCTTGTGGATCGGCTGGTGTGATTGCCGGGATATAGTCAGTAACTAATTTGTTTGTATGCTTTTCATCCAACTATTCATTCGCAAAATAAAACTCCGCTCTCATTCTATCAGAGACAACACACACTTACACGCATACACATTCACACACGTCATTTTGCATTCAGTTGATGTTTATTTCATTTTTTTCTGTTTTTATTGCCACTGTTATTGTTTTTGTTGGTCCTCTTTATGGTTGCTCACACCTATGCAAGGCCTGCCAGCCCGAAATGACGATAAATAGATGTAGTTCATTTCATTGTGTGTACGTTGGCTAATCCGTTCCGAGTGCATTTTCTGCCACTGGGCATAAAACGTGTTGATTGTGCGTATGGCAACAACAACAACGACAACAACAGTGCTACGTTATGAATGTCGGACACAAGCATAATTTGTGTTTTTTGTACGATTCCGTACGATTCTGGTCTCCGTTCTACTTGCCCACTCTCTTTCTCATTAATTCAGCCTTCTCTCTGTCCTCTGTTCGTCCATTCAAACTTAAACAATGCCACTTTCTTTGATCGTTATACCGGCCAGAGAGTGAGAGAGTGAGCGAGCGAGATGAAGAATCAACACTGTCTGAAT